GTTTAAGATTCTGGATGAGTAGAGTACATTTTTCGGGAGGACAATATCTCCTACCGCACAGGTATACTCTGATAACGAAAGTCCATCTTCACAGTCTAGAATAAGTCCTTGATTCCTTTTAGGAAAATTGTCTGGACGTGGTACTGAATTAGAGCTGCTGGGACTTGTTACTTTTGTCACAGCACTGTACGTCGCAGCTGTAAACTTTTCTTGACCAGTAGGATTGCTTGGTACTGTTTTATCTTTAGGCACTTGATTTTCGTATGCAGTAGGATTAGAATTACTTGATACCTGATCATTTCCCTCCATGGCACTTCAGACTAGTTTGTATGTATTTATAGGTAGTGAAAAATTTCCGAAGCTGAGGTAAACACGTCTTAACTCAACGAGTGCTCCACACCGAATCCTGTAAATTGTCTTTTAATAAAATTATAATGGAGATCATAAATAAACATTTTTGAAAGATCTAAAATCACAAATCCTACGTATATCGGCTTATTGAAATATATATTTTTTCGCTCCATTTCTATTATTACCATGTCATTGTCAAAAATTATACTATTATGGAATTTTGGAGAGGCAATGAGATTTTTTGCACCATACCGACCTTCCCACTGTGTAAATAACTTTACATCTTTATACTTCCGAACGTTTTTCATTGTTCTTCCGTAAACTGCATTATTTATTAATTTATAGAAATTCTTTTCAAAATCTTTTTCTGATTTCTTTCGTAAATCTGTATGTAGATCAACATACTTCTTCATCCATGGTGATTGATTAAATTTAAGGATTCTATGGATTTTAGTTACAATTATTCCTAAATCGAGACATTGTTTTAAATTACTGTAGTGAATCACATATTCAAGTTTAGGTAATAATGTCGTCATAAGTTTGCTACTATTGCTGTTTGGAGGTTTGTGGTGTTCAGGACACAATGGCAAGTCTTTATGATGCTCGTGTAAGATTTGTGGGTACTCTAAATCAACTTCAAAAATGTAACCAATTGAAGAATCCTTGGAGATATTTTTAATTATTTCATAGATATTAGAAATGTTGATGTTATCTTCCACCCATTCAAATGATCCAGTCGGTAGATACTCACTCATTGCTGCGCCATACAAATTATTTACATCGAAATACATGAGATATGAAACATTGTCATTGGGGTTATAATCATTACACATATACGGGTTATTTGATTTCGCATATCTATTTGAACACTGTGCTACTCCTCCTCTAATACCTTTTTCTATGAAATTGAGCATTTCTACATTGTCCAAGAGTTCGAGTTCAATTTCTGTATATTTCAACATAGCATCAAAAGTTAATCCAGGTGCAGTGTAGTAATGTAACAAATCAAGCTCATAAGTGCAAAGACAACTTTGTCTAAAATTTTGGAAAATGTCTGCTGACAGAAGAACGTCTGTTTTTGAATATAGATCTGAATATTCACCGAGGGTGTTTAGTTGAAATTGATCCCAAACGTGGCGTGCATGTTAGTAATCGTCATCGAAAATGTCCGAATCGTTGAGTTTCGAATAGAATTTGGATTTGTCAGGTAGTTGTCGTTCGTCAAGTTTTTCCCAACTGTCAATATATTCATATGGGAAAACACCTTTACGAGTTACTAATTGAAATTTATCTGGCTCGGAATAGAAACTTTAGGTAATTGATTTTGCGTTATTATCTAAAAATGATGCAAGTTTCTCAATACTATTGCTTATGAATCGGAAAGAATCAATAAATCGTAATTTAACAACTATTTCTTTTTTCGCAGGAAATTTTCTGACCAACTGTTTTTGTAAATGCTATGTATTTTTCTTTATTGACAGGTAATAATTTTATATAACGTTTAAAAGATGTAGTCAATGATTTAATAAAAAAATATGCGTTATGTCCTGAGAGGTTATGAAAAATGACTGGAATTATGCATGAATTATGATAATTTAAATCACAATTAACATGAGCAGCGCCTCGATAATTACCTGTGAAGTGCCAGTGATCATGTACTTTCGTTTTATTATGTAAAAATAGTTTATTACAGATGTGACAGATTTTTGCATTACGTAAATCGTTTTATCGTTGGGATGTTAATTGTTTCATTGGTACTACGTTTTGAGTTGTCATACGTACAGTGCATATAATAGGCTACATTACATGGAATATGCTTTTGATTACCTTTATTATCAGGTTCAAGAATACTCTCAAGATCAGCATAGACAGCAAATGGCACAGGATCTTTAAAATGAAAATTTGTTAATTTTATTTTAACATCTTTTTCAGGAAGTGAAATTCGCGTATTGTTTATATTGAGACAGTCTTTTTGATGTTTTTTAAATGAAGTTTTAACCTGAAAATGGTTGAGACATCGATCACATAAAATTACTCGACCGTTATGCTTAGAAATTTGATTTCCAACTAATCTTGAAAGATCCTTTATAAGACAAAAATGAAAAATTGAGTTAATGTTTTCTTTATCATCTATTTCAACTCGACTCTGAACCATTAACAGAAGAATACATGGTTCATCTACTTTATAATGTTTACTTAAATATAATGGAATAATTTTACAATCGCCATCCAAACCGTACACATTTATTGCTAGATTATTAAGATCTTCGAATTTTAGGACATCATGTAGAATGATATGACAGTTAATACCTTCATCTTTTAGCACACTTTTATAATATAAATATGAACTTGTTCTTATAGAATTTATATCAGCTGGATGAAGTGCTGCAGTAACTGCCAAAAAGGAACAGCATTCATCATTTTTTTAAATATTTAATACTGCTTTTTGTTGTTGTATAAATTTTGGTAGAGGTACAAATGTAGATTGCCCAGCTGATAAAGGTTGATAACGATTGATATTGAGTTGCAGATATTCAATTTCTTCAATTGACCAACCAGAATCTCATTCTTGAAAATTCTCGACTTTTGTTAGTAGTTTGTCAACAACATTTTCCAGGGAATGTTTTTTTATGTCTGTTAACGGCAAAATTGCTTCATTTTTAACATCAAAGTACTTAATTTCTGTAACTGTTTTATCATTTGTTTGATTACTAAATTTACAAGCAAGGACAAAGTTCACTTTCAAATTTCCTTTACTTGTTACTATATCTGTCAACTTTTCGGTAATTAGCTTTTCAGCGTCCAATAAAAAGTCTCGTAAATTTAAATGTTGCAAGTTAATGACAACACCAGTGCGAATTCGATTTTTGAAAATATTTTATAAATCTTTCCATCGAATCAATTGTTCTGTTGATTGAAAAGTTCCTCCAACGATTGAATGAATTATAAACTTTTATGTAATGTTGCGAGTGCTGCAATTATCGATTGAATTTGTAGTTTTTCATCAACCAATAAACCCTTCGATTGCAAATGTCCGTTCAAGGTAATAATATTTTTAGCACTAATTCGCACCCACTTATCAATGATTCTACTAGATTCATGATTCAAAGATGGTAGAGGAGCATACCCTGATGGATTCATGTCAACTGTTCAATGACAGTTGCAATTAGGTCAATAGTATACTTAGCGTTTACTTTGAGTCATTTCAGGGTAACTTTACCTTAAAATAACTATAAATCAACTATAAATCAACTGTTAGAATGTGCGATTTATTAACTATGAGTTAACCATTCATGAACGGTTGCTTGAGAGTTGATATTTGGTCAATTGAACGTCATATCAACTTATAATGAACGCATTAGTTTATTAACCTATCATAGCGATTTTGAGGCTTACTAACCTTGAATAAACCCTTAAAATGTTATTTTTAGGTTAAAGTTAATGCTATACCATTAAATTTGGTTATAAATAAACTTGTAGGCTAACAGTTAGAATTAAATAAAAAAGGTAATGGCACATCGTATTTTTGTATGACTGTTGGTAACATCACGGTTTACATCGCTGACTGTTTAATGTATTATCCACAGAGCACATCGAAACAGAGAGAAGACTTCTCTCTGCATGGAAATGCATATGGCCGAATACGTGCAAAAATGTTGATAAATTTCTAGTGATAATCTTTTTATTACAAAGAAATCACGTACTATTAAAAATTGGATAAACATTACTTTCAAAGGTAAGTTTTAAAAATATATATATGTTCTGACTTGGAGGGGCCCAAGTCAGTTAGTCAGAAATATTCAAAAATTGTTAATGCCGGACTTGTCCACCGGCGCGTCAGTCAACTCACTGGACCAATCATCGGGAAGTATTTCCCTCATGGCCCAGAAGGCAACTCTACGGCCCTAGTGACGCCAACAAGCACGCGGTCGAGCACTTGTGGCGTCAGTTAGCTCCAGGCAAATCACGCGGTCATCTCTGTATAACTTTTCGCAGTCGAATCGCAGATTTTTCAGTCAGCTCACCTTTTGTAGTTACAAGTACGGTCAAATAGACTCAGACAACTCTCACGAAGATACGTGAATCATCAAATTACTCTCATCAGTGCCAGTGGTCCAGTATATTCAGTTGTAGTGTCTTTGGGCGCGAAGCTGAACTGGCGTCGACGCCATAGTGCCTCACGGACATTCACCTATACATCGCACCCCCGAATAACTCTGGTGTATACTGTGAATGTTGCTATTCACTGTTTTTTGAGACTATGTTATTTGGTGACAAAATAACCATTAGACAACTCATAAGTGTACAAACAATTATGGTACAGTCAACTCAACTATATGTAGTGATTATAAAGTTCTATTGAGTATGTTAAGTGTTATTGTTGAATAAAAACTATAAACCCAAGCAATTCAGTGTTAATAAACTATTTTTTGGAACCTTCTAGCATCCAACCTTTTGTTCTTATTCTGCTCTCAATTCATACAGTCCACTAGTTTTCAGTTTGCTCATTCGGCCGACTCGAAGTCAGAACAATATATAAAATAATATTTTTATCGAAAATGTAGTATTTTCTGCAAAAAAAACCTTTCATAACATGTTGGTTGAACCTAATACACAATAATATGTTTGAAATCATTACTAGGATTAAATAATGGATTCTTCATCGAATGATGAATTATATGCACTCGTTAAATTGCCTTTCGGTATGAGAAGAGTCTTTCCAATAAAAGATATTTATTTGAAGGATGAAAATAATGAATACAATATAAGTGCGACATTAGATTTACTCCATGATGCTAATTTTGGTGCTGGTCGAACACTTCGAGTCTTTGCAGAAGATAGTAATGAAGCCATTGCTTGTGTGGTACAGAAAATAGACAGTAAGTCCTATAATTATTTTCATTATTATTATATCATCTCTAGGTCTATACGAGAAATAATTTTTTTTCAGCTAATCAAGATACATTTTTTTTTATATTTTCAATTAGATTAAAGTTTGTGGAATTTGGGTGGATATCAGTCGTTACACTAAAGCAGGAAGAGCTACTGACATGCGTAAACGATGCAATGGCATAATTGAGGCTATATGGCTAGAAAAAGAAGATAGAGCTAAATTGTTTGTATCGGGACGACATTGTAAAGATGGTACTGTACTAACAGACCAACATTATCAACTCATCTTAAGTAAGTATTCACAATTTTTCATGGATTAAGTTTACAAAAGTCTGTCGGATTGCAAACAAAATAATTTATTCTATTACAGGCATGTGTCGTGAGTTACAAGTACATAAGGTGTTCCCATTTAATAACGAGAACGATCCCATTCTTGATGTTAAGGTTTGGGTTTCTAAAAAATTAAAAATGGATCGACATCGTTTCCTTCGATCCCGAAATAACAACGCTTTTTTTGAAAAAGATGGCGAGGATTCAGATCTCATTTCTGATGAAGAATAAATAGTTGTTAAATATGACTCGTGAAAAGTATCGGTTGGGATGAAATATTTTTTTGCATTACTTCTTCTCCAACTGATATAATTGGAGCATAAGCTAACATTATCATTTTCTAAAAATCTTTTTTTGAACATGTTACAAATTCTTGTTTATGTTACAATTATTTGTTTTTTTTTTTTATTTTTAAATTATTCCAAACCTAAAAAATAATGTTAGATTATGACAATAAAGCTCTTAAAAGTGCTTATATATTTTTGAGCAATAAGAATGGAAGTCTTTAGTATTTTGCATAATTATTTAAACAAATTAAATATAGTAATATTTTATATAACTTATTTATAATAATGATGTGATTGTTATGATTAGGACTATAAGACTGAAAGCAGTTGAGTATTTTTAATACTGATTCAAATAGCGCATAAGTCATAATATTTTATATAATTTATCAGTAGTTTAAAAATAATGTTAACTAATTTGTTTGAATTTTTGAGACTGAAAGAACTTTCAGTATTTTTTATAGTATTTTAAATAGCCAAAATATAATGTTCTATATGTGTTATTTATTTTAATAAAGAAAAACAATAAATAAAATATTTTATTCGTATATATAATTATTTATTTTATCGTACCATCTTCGTTAAAAAATAGTTAATAAAAGGTAAATAAGCGATTTAAATGTGGTTAAGAATTGTTTTTTTGCAACTGTTGCTTTTAAATTTTAAAAAAAAAGAAAGGTTGCATTCAGGTTAACAGTTGATTAAACGTTGCATGTTAGTCAAATAACCGTTTTTTTATCGCACATTGTAACTGTTGTTTTAAAGTTAACAATTAGTTGCCTCAAATCCATCAGGGTAAGCCTTCTCTCTCATTTTAATTAAATCAAAATAATAGTTTAGTGCACTCATTTTTTTTTGACTATACTAGACAAATTTCAGAATTACAATGATGAAAAAGCGTGCTTAATAAGATTTATATAGGATTTAGATGACCTTGTAATGACTGTCATAATCGAAAAAAAATTTCTTGAAAGTTCGAGAATATTAATTTCGTGTCATTTTCTAAGATCAAATACCAAATTTAACTTAAATTAAATAACTATTTTTTTTTTAATGTAAGGGAGGACATATCTAAATTAAAAGAACTATGATTTTAAATTTCTTCTATTTGTTGAGAAAATCTCAACTTGTGAATTAACCTAACCGTTTAAGGATAGGGATGATTGTGCCGGAACAGAGCAAACGAAAGTCAGGTTTTATAAAAAAAAAGTATCTTTATTTTCAGCACTAACAGGTACACTAAATACACTGACAAACTTTTTGTTATTAAATAGGAAGACTAAATGTCGCTCAAAATCACTGAATGTCTATTTTCATTACTGAATATGAATTGAATGTCCAAAAAATACTTAACTTGGTGTGTTCGGTATTATTGACCTCCCACACGAGCTCAGCACGCTTCTCAAGTTGAGCAAGAATGTGATTGTGGACGTGGCGTTAGCCTATCAATGCAATGCAAAATGAATTTAATGAATTGTCTCGAATTTACAATAAAATGTCTTGAAATATTACTTGATTCTAGTTTTAGAATGAAGCCTGAATGTTTCTGATGATTTACAATAGCACTAGTACTGATGATTGACTCAAAACTTTCAGATTTGTTAAGAATGAATGTGAATGGCGTGTACACGTGAACGAGAACAGTGAAAGAATGGTGACAGGAACTTCATTAGTCAAAAAGGACACTGAAAATTAGTCAAATGTGTGACTAAATAAAGAATTATTGATTATTTGGTCGATTGGTTATCGACCCAGTCCCAAGATGGCCGCCGAAGTTCCTGTCAGCTGGCAAATTCAAACTGAGAATTAATTAATTCTCAACACTATTTATTGTAAAGTTTTTAGATTACATTGATTATTGTAAGATTTACATTCCATCAACTGTGAATTCAAACGAATTATTAGCTCCACCATGGTACAACAATGATAATCTGTTGTCAGCGGCCAACTCAACCAATTTTTCAAAATTCTCTATGATTTTCCGAAATTTTTACCGTTCTTGGAGGTAAAAATATCATGTAGCTATTTTTAATTGTTGCCACAACTTTTAGTCCGTACACAGTTTCAAGTTCTTTCAGACCAGTAATTTTGTACGTTTTAGAGGGTTTTAATATATCCATCTTCTTGGTTGGTAAGTATGTCTCACACTTGGCAATTTTATTTACTCTTGATAAATCCATTCTTACTGTTTGAATTATGTATCACAACGTATTTCTTACAGTTTTAATTTATCAGTGATTTTAAACATGACTTGTATGGGTATGAATACAATTCAAACCCCCCAAACAAAGAATCCAGAATGTTTCAATTTTGATGCAATCATAAATTAAAACATGCATATAAAACGTTTACACAATGTTTCATTATCCCCGCTGAAAACTTCCAGAACATGCCAAGGCTGTAAATCAGCCCTCAGATCATGTAAATTCTTGCCCGATTTCCCAAGAAATATCTTGTGATGTTTCATCATTCTTGCTGAACATTTCAGACTAACAAAAATTACATGTAATGTAAAAAAAAATCCTACAAAATACAATTTTATAGCCAATCGTTGTAGTGATCAAACAATAAAATTAAATGCTATAATTTTAATAAGTGGGGCTGAACATATACATAGATGATCTACCGTAAAACTATTCAGTTGGGTTTTACATTTTCGGCATGTGTATAAATTTTAAGTGCATCATGGAAATGATATTGGATGTTCAAGGTTCAATAGTGATGGTATGGAAGACATTTCAGTATTAATTTTCAAACCGCCATATCAGTGGGAATATTTACCTGAAAAATATGAACGCATACATTCGTGGCTGATACGTAATTATCATGGTATTCCATGGAAATCTGAAACAATACCATATGGGAACTTCCATATATTCTTCGTGTACTTCAAACCAAAGATCGAAGCCGTATTTACGTGAAAGGAGATGAAAAGAAAAAATGGTTAGAAAGTTTAATTGACAGCTCAAAAGTTGTAATCAATTTGGATGAGCTTGAATGTCCTTCGCTTTATGCTCTGAACATGAATCATCTTAAAGATTGTGGGGTGCATAAATGAGAAAATAAACAATGTGCAAAAAAGAATGCAAAAATTCTAAGAGAATGGTATATGGTGAATTTTCATAAAAAACCCCTATTTGAAAAGTCATTTAAATTTAACTGTTTATTACAAAATATAACAAAAATGTCAAGTGAAGATATTGCTTCTCTTCCAAAATATTTTTTCTTGAAGATTGTTCCAGAATACATCGACGATATTTGGGATAAATTACCGGAACATTTACAACTCGATAGAGATATTCTATTGCATCGTAAATGTTACAAACATTACATGCTATTAGATCGTACGAGAACGTTGAGAATTAATTATATATATTGTAAAAAAGAGAAAAACATTCATTCAAATACATAAAATAGAATGTATAATCTTTATTTCTTGAATAAAAAATTCTTTCTCAAGATAAAAAATCTTATTATTATTGTTAAAGGAGTCATTTAAACGTAAAGAATTACAAATCGTAGTTCAGAAAATATAAAATAAAAAAAGATAATATTTTTTCGTTTCAATAAATTTTTTACATTTAAAATACGTTCAGTTATGATTACTCATACAGGAAATGAAATATTCCAATTGATTATTTATAATATTGTAAAAAATTTGTATGTCACCATCTAATGACTATTAGACTAACGACAGTTTGTTAGTTAACAACGATTGCTTGACGATTAGATTGTTTATAGCAACGAGGGGAGAGTTTGTTTATCTCCAGTTTTTGACTGTGACTTGAGTTGACCGCACGGATTCTTTCTTTTAATTAATTGCTGTCAATCTTTGATAAACATTGTTATTTATTTACTAATTTTCCGAAGTTGTTATTGAGTCTTATTTTACAATATATATTATGACTTACTTCAATAAGTAGCAGAGAATGAGAGTATAAACAAAGTGAAAAATAGATAAAGGTGAGGAAAATATGATGCAGTCGACGGACTGAGTCAAATGTTAACGTTTCTAAATAAAATAAAAAAGGTCGATTATTTTTCGACACATGTCCCTTTTAACTCCTGCATGAATCACAGTTTCTCAGCGGAGAATAAAAGTATAGACAAAGTGAGGAAGCGGTGGCAGAGCGAGGAAAAATAAGATAGCAGAGGCATGATCGACAAGGAAAACACGTTTAATTATAAATCCAATCGAAAAAATATGTGTCTTTGAAATTATTTATCCATGGTAGAGATCGTTTACAAACTATTTTAATAATTAAAAAAGAAAAAAAATGTCATTTATAAATTTTTTTTAGTGAGAATTTTTTCTTGTTGTCGAATTCTTTTCTCTATCTGTAATTTGATGCTGAGTGATGTGATCAAGGCATCTCTATATAGATTGAAATCAATATCGTTGAATGATTTTTCACCATTGGCCTATTTGAAAAATATAAACATTTAGCCATGGTGTATGATGCACCATAGGACAAAACATTTAGTCCATTTCCGACAGTGAAACTGATCAAACCATACCAAGTGAGTAGTGACTTTTTTTTTATTTCAGTATAAAAAGTGTGTTTTTTTTTTTAATTTTTATGCATTAATATGATTATTTATTAAGTGTAATTGTGAATTTCATGAATTGTTAAATGATAATTTATCAAGTGGGACTTTTTTTTTTTAAGTTTAAAAAATATTTATTATAATCGTTATTATTTTTTAGAAGAAGATGTGCACTTTCATTTTCCCGGAGGCCTGGTTCAACCTACCGATCACCCTCCTAGAAATTATAATTCTAATGGCACTTGAAGATCATTGGGAAGAGACGGGAGGGAAAGAAGGCGTTACCCTCACACTTTGTGGCGTGACGGCTACCTGCCTAACTCGATTGCATAAAGCTACTGGTTGACGTTGATATAAATCCGTGACACGATGACAGCCTTGATTGTTTTTGTATTACAATCAGTAGGAATGGTGTTCGCATGTGGAGAGTACAATGCAATTTCACATGATGTTGACTCACTTATCTTCACGGGGTAAAC